CCGCCATTGGCCGCGGCGCCCCCCGCCCGACCGCCCGGCGCCTCGCCATTGGCCGCGGCGCGCACTTAAAAGGCGCGGCCAATGGCTGCGAGCGGCAGAGGCCGGGGCGCGGGCGGGCGGTCTGTTCTCAGTCGGGGAGCAGGCGGCCCCGGGCCGGCGGGCTGAGGGGGTGCGGGCGACCGGGCGGGCCCGGGCTCCAGGCGGAAGACCGGCAGGGCGCGGCGGGTGGGGCCGGCGGCCTGTGCCTGCTGGAGGCAACGGCGATGACTCTCTCTTTGTCTGCACTCGCTCCAAAATGGCTGCGGCCAGAGCTGACGGGAGCGCCGGGCAGGCGAGGGAGGGAGGCCGTGCTCCCGAGGCCCCTCCGCGCCGCCGCCGCCATCGCGGGGCCGAGGCCGGGGGAGGGGGGAGTAGGGCTGGCGGCCCGGCGTTGGCGCCACGGTTGCGGACGGGCCGGGCCTAGCCGAGGACGGGCTTCGCGGCGTCGATGCGCGGCGCCGGGCGAGGCGGTACGCCCCGTGCCCCGCGCGGCCCTGTTCCCGCGCCCGTGCCGCGGCCCGAGCTTTCCCGGAGCGGCGCCTGGCCTCGGGCGGCAGGGCCCCCGCACACGAGTGTCCATAAATCAGCGCCTGTGGCGCCCGTAGTTCCGAGTCGGGAGAGGTCCAATGTGGACGGCCTCTTGTCTTCCTGTTTCCTCTCCTCCCTTTGACAAAGTGCGTGACCTAAAACCCTGTGCGCCAGCACCTCGGCCGTAGAACTGGCTCAGGTACAGTCCTCTTCGTGCGGGTGTTCGTTTGTTTGCTCTTTACCCAGAGACGGTGTTCCCGGGACGTTTGGAGGGGGCTTCCTGGTCCCCTTCTTCAGGGACAGCCGCGGCCTCTGGGCAGCGGGAGCCGGCCCGCGCCGCCCGAGGACGCGGGTCGCTCACACCGGGATGGGACTCTGGACCCGAGCTCCGCGCCCCGGAGGAGCGGGACGCGCGGGGTGTGTGAGGGCGGGGGGCTGGGACCCGCGGCACCCGTGCCGGGTCCCCTCCAGCGCCTGGAGCCGGGCGTGGGCGGGGGGCTGGCTTTCAAACAATAGCAGAAACGTGGAATTATGTGTCAATTGTAATCTTGAAACGTTGACAACTAATTAGAAAATTTTAAAGGAAACCACGTAAAAGCATTGGCAGGCTGACTGCAGTTCCCCCCCCCACCCGCCCCCGGTGTGACGACATCTGTAGTGGTACGTCCATAGTCTACACCCTCGGAGCGCTCAGATTGGAGTGGGGGTAGAAAAGCAAGCAGTGGTGCGGGTAGGAAGTGAAACGCAGATTGTGTTCCCGTGCACCCGCAAGGGCCGGTGTGAGCAGGGGGATCCCCCCTGTCAGGTCACCCCTGCTACATTACTGACAGCTTCCCTAAAGGAAGGATGGCAGTGCCATCTGAGGGCATTCTGACTTGTCCACACAGCGATGGCTTCCTGAGTTCCCTGAGGGCCTGCCAGGACCCCTCCAACCCAGTGTGTCTCCCCCCAACCCAGCCTCCATTCAGCCTGCACCGTTGGGTGCATGCCACCTCTATTCATTCCTCTCTGCACCAGGCCTGCTCCCCACATCGGCGCTGACATCACCCCCAGTGAGCTGCGGGGCACTGTCCTGTCCAACAGGAAGTGTGGGAGGTTAAGTCTGAACCCCCACCCCACCCCCCAGGAAAGAAGGGAGCTGCAGAGGAGGATGAGGCCATTCTGCTGCATCTGGTGCTCCCCAAAGCCCCGCCCACCTTGAGAGTAAACAGGAGCAAGGAAGTCATGGGGCCTCTCCCCACCTCCTAAAGTAGGGAGGGGACAGGCTCCCAACCTGTGCCCCTTGCTCACCCTGAGGACCTGGGGCATTTTCCTGGAATATCCGTATGGTTTTACTTGTTGCCACAAGGAGTTATGACCTCTGCACCTTGAAAGAGACCTTCCACCTCGCATAAAGAAAAAGGGACAATGAAAATGAGTGCAAGTGTAAAGACCATGCTTAAACACGGAAAGACCTTTGCTGTGAGAATAGCAGAACCCAAGACGGCAGCCTTGCCACCTGCCATGCCACAAATGTGCAAGACCACGGGTGGAAGGGAAGGCAGCTGCCCAGGCCAGCAGCCACGTGGGCCTTTTCAATCTCTTAAACAGTATATTATCTTTTCAATAAAACAAAGAAAGCATCAGATGCACTCTCTTAAGTGTAAAAATAAATATAACCAAGACCACAATTTCATTGTTGCTCTGTCTGTGTGAAAGACATGCGGTGTTCGTATTGTGCATTATGTATAGTGTATTACCTATGCTATTGTTGTCCATCTGGAATACTACATGATAAAACATTAAAAAAAAAAAAAAAGAGACCTGCATTTAGCTGTCAGCTGGTGGCCCCGGGCCAGGCCACCAGAGTCCTGTCTGACAGGTGACTTCTCCACCTGAGCCAACAGTGTTCCTCAGCACCTCGGACCCCGCAGGATGTGCCCATCATTGAGAATGGATCCACATCTCAGGATCAAACTCATGAACACATAACTGATCTGTAGATGCAGGCACATTCATTTCTTAGGGCCATCAACATTATCATAAACAGCGACTTACAAAACAACAGGAATTTATTCTCTCAACTCCAGAAGCCACGAGTCCAAAATCAAGGTGTGGGTAGGGTCCTTCCTGCCTCTTCCGCCTCTGGTGGCCCCAGGCGTCCTGGGCTTGTGCCACATCCCTACAATCTGTGCTTTCGTGGTCACATGGTTTCTCTATCTTCGCGCCTTTCATCTTTTGAGGACACTAGTCATTGGATTTAGGGCGCACCCTAAATTCAAAATGGTTTCATCTTTTTAAATAAAGGGGGGGTGGGAGGGTGTCTGGGTGGCTCAGTTGGTTAAGTGGCTGCCTTTGGCTCAGGTCATGATCCCAGGGTCCTGGGATCGAGTCCCGCATTAGGTCCCTTTTCTATGGGGATCCTGCTTCTCCCTCCGCCTGCCACTCCCTCTGCTTGTGCTCTCTCTATCAAATAAATAAAATCTTTATAAAAAAAAGTTTCATCTTAACATACTTAACTACATTTGCAAAGACCCCATTTCCAAATAATGTCACATGCTAAGGTTCTGGGTGGATGTGAATTTTGGGGGGACAGTTCAACCCAATACAACATATGACCAGTGTGTCCACTTATGGAGAGAAGACCTTCCAGATAGATCAGAAGGCAGTCATCAGCCTGATCAGCCCCTTTGCCCCAGAACAGTAGCCTGAGACATGATGGGTCTGGCGTGGAATCCACCAGTCAAGGCTGCCCTCTCTGTTCTGCCTGGAAAAGAAAGTGTGGTGGTGAAATCTGCTCAGTGGCCACCAGTAATAAGCAAGTTGACGCACTGAGCTCTCCACACAGGGCCAAGCCCCTGTGGCAGTGGGGGGATTGAAGCCTAGGAAGGTTGTCACTAGCTCAAGGTCTCTCCTGGTAGGGACGGAAACCTGGGACTCAGACCCTAACACCGACAGACAGTGGTGCTGCTCTTTTCAGGCTGCCAAGGCTGCCCAAGCCCATGGTACACCAATTAGATGTCCCTCCTAAGTTAGAGTCAGAATCAGGCCTGCCTCCTCTGAGACTGACCCAGATCTGCTGGATGTGGGCTGTCTGCAAACTCTCGAATGACTCATTTACAACAGTTCTTGGCTGACTCCCACAAATAGCTAACTACAGCTATCATGGATGGCTTTTACTAGTTTAGCTCAGAGAGGAGCTTATTTCAAAGTTCAGGTGGGAACTCTGAGGTCAGCCTCCCTGTGACGTCTCCCTCGCCACCCGAAAGTGCAAGCAAGAAACAGCCTTACTCTCAGTCAGAGGAGCCTCCTGGGTCTTTGCGTCCCTCTTACCCAGAGAGGTGCGATGCTGCCAAACTCCATTTTCTAAGCATCATACCCATCAGATGGGTTTTT